CTTATAAGGTCAAGCCTAATTATGCTAAGAGGACTGTGCCCTCTAAGCTGGGACTTGTTTGTGACTTTGCCAACCCTATATCAGCTCCCCACACTTTATTCCAGCTTTTTTTTTTTTCCTGAGGTAGAAAGCTACAAGCAGAGAAGGCAAACTTCCCTTGCTGAGTTGATGGCGAGGCCAATTTCTCTCCCTAATATTGAAGAGACAAGGGAATAACTCAGCCCAAAGCAACTCCCTGGTTTGCCTTTAGGTGAAAGGGATCGTAAAATCAGAATTCCTCTTCTGTCTCCTAGAAGCTGCTCCTGAAAGTTGAGATTTGACCCCAGGCACCTCTCTATTACTTTCCTTGACACACTCCAGTGGTTGAAATCTAACTGGAGCCCTCTGATGCATCAGGCATCAAAAGTCATTGTTCCTGTTGAAGCTTCCAGTGGTTCTCAACCTTCCTAATGCGGCGACCCTTTAATACAGTTCCTCATGTTGTGGTGACCCCCAATTTCATTGTTACAAATTGAACATAATTAAAGCATAGTGATTAATCACAAAAACAATATGTAATTATATATGTGTTTTCTGATGGTCTTAGGCGACCCCTGTGAAAGGGTCGTTCAACCCTCCAAGGGGTCGCGACCCACAGGTTGAGAACCGCTGGCTTAGGCCGTCTACCTAATTTGATGAATTTATTGCATTTGGGCCTCCCAGGACCAGTCCTTTCCTCCACCCTCAGGTTTATGGTTTAAATCAGTGGTTCTCAACCTTGGCTGCACATTAGAATCACCTGGGAATCTTTTTAAAATCCTGATTTCTGGGCCTCATCCTCCGGAAATTCTGTTTCTTTGTTATGGGGTGAGGCCACAACATCCATAACAAAGAAACAGAATTTCCGGAGGATGAGGCCCAGAAATCAGGATTTAAAAAAGATTCCCAGGTGATTCTAATGTGCAGCCAAGGTTGAGAACCACCGTCTTATAAGAACTCTTGTGATTATATTGGTCCCACCTGGATAATCCAGGATACTCTCCCCATCTGAAGATCCTCAACTTAACTACACCTGCAAAGCCTCTTTTGCCACATCCTATGTAATCCTATATCAATGCAAAAAATCGGCCAAGAGACAGCTGGTATCTCAAAAAACTCGTTAGTCGGGACACTCGTAAGGCCCCACTGTACTTCCACAATGCAATTGCATCATCTGGTGCTCCAACCAACCCTGAACCATTCCAAGTACCACAGAGTGAGAACCAATTTAGGGCAGGAGGGGTCTAGGCCCAAGGTACCTGGCTGGGACTTTTTACAGTTTACACCTCTTAGATGAGTGGTAACAATAGGGATAGTCTTGGATCTGAACATTCAGTGGACTCAAGCAATATGCCTTTGTGCAAGTAAGAGTTTCTTATTCAGATGGCCACTGGGGGGCAGCAGAGCAATAGGAACAGAGTAAAAGGGAATTTCCAGGAAATACAGAGACTGCTAAATGAGTTCTGCCTCTAGCTCTGCTCACAAGGATGTTGCCACCTAACAATGGCACCAAGCCTCCTCTAGAAGAAGTACCATAGCAGAGCTGGGATGAATTTACAGGAAGAGCCAGAACTTCCTCATAGAGATATAGCACTACTATTGTATTTAGAATTGAAGACTTGTTTATCTTACTTAAAATTTCAGATTTCTAGGCTCCATCTCAGACCAACAAAATCACTCTCCAGGGGAAGGGCCTGGAAATATATATTTAAGCTTCCCAGGATTCTTTCAAAGAAAAATTGGGATTTTCATTATTGGAGAATTTTATCCCATGCCTCATTAGAAAAGTTTCTATTCTGAATGGGTATTTTGAACATGCCAATGGAAATGACATAAAGTGTGGCCTGGAATCTCTAACAAAAGATTGTAACTAAAGGACTAAAAACATGGCAGAAGGTTATTTAGGGGCTGGGGTGAAGAAAAGGGGGAAGTCAGCTGTCAGAACTACTCAACCTACAAGTTAGAAATTGGGAACCAATTTCTTACTGTTATCCCTGAAAATAAATGCACCTAAGCCTCTCCCTTAGTTTATGTTCCAGATCAAAGAATCAGGGAAAGGAGAAGACAGAACAATATTAATACCCCCCAACCCCCGCAGAGAAATGTTCAAAGATCACAGAGGAAAGGGCAGGTTTCCTCCAGTACTCTCCACCCTATACCATTCCTCAGCTCTACTGTAGCTAAGATTCCCCAGCCTCCCTGCTGTTCTGGGCAGATAGAGATAACTGTAAAGTAGGTATAGTGTTGCTCTGTTACATCCTGTGACTCCTATCTTTGAAAGAGCTTTTATTTTTGTCTCAATAGCATTTTACACTCAATGAGTATCATCCAAAAATCACACCAACATTTCTTCAGCATGGCATTTTACTTTTTGGAGGAGAGAATAGGAGGGAGAGGAGGGAAAACAGGGTCCTACGGGAGTCTCAGAAATGTCTGAGACTATGTGGCTTCCCTGAGGCCTGCCCAGCTTGTCCTAGAAGATTTCATGTGAAGGGCTGTGGGTTGCAGCTCTCTAGTGCACAGTCCTCTCTTTTTGGCGATGATAATCTGGGGAAAAGAAGGAGGAAAAAGGCAGGTTATTTTGAGGCCTGAGCTCCCGACTCATATAATCAGGGCTCTAATAATCAGGACTTCAAGAGTTTCTACCCAGGGCCCTTCCAAGTAAGACAAAAGAGAGTGACACTTACTGTAGGGAAAGAAGCGGACACGCATACTGATTTCACGAGCTGTCTTCAGGATCTCAACAGCCTGAAAGGAGCAAAACAGCTGGTACAAATGAAGATATGACCCAGGAGAGAATCATAACAGGAGGAAAGTCATTTGCCACTCCAACCTTCTGGGTCACTAACAGCTGCTTCCTTCTGGTACACTTCCTCAGGAGAGATTCTTTCTTACCAAGTTACATACAGATTAGGCTAATCCTTTCCAACTTGTCCTACCTGGGATCGCTTCTTGCCTCACCACAGCCCAAGTGCTGTGCTCACCTTGCTATGCTCAATATCTTGGAAATCCACATCATTTACAGCTAGGACTTGGTCCCCTTCCTGAAGTCCTGCTCGATGTGCATCAGAGTCTGGGATCACCTGTTGGTAAGGAGAGAATATGTCTGATTGAGGTGGGGTAATTTCAAAGACTGTAAGTGAAATTAAGTGCTATCCAAATGTAAGGTGCTAGTGTGTGTGTGTGTGTGTGTGTGTGTGTGTGTGCGCGCACATGTGCGTGAAAATGTAGGGAAACAGATGCTTGCCAGGTGGGAAGTTTTAAGTGGGAAAGTTTCCTCATTATGCCCCATTCTAAGAGTCTACTAAATCATCCTCCCAGGCCCTGGGACATCACAGTTCTGCAATCTGATAACAAAGGGAAGTAGCTATCCATATTGCCTACCAGGTACACGCACCTTGGAGATGAAGATGCCTAGCTGGGAGGCCTTTCCTCCTCGGATGTTAAATCCCAACTGCAAGACAAGAGCACAGAATGGGGGCTCAATATTGACAATAAACACAAGAATATCTAGTAGCATCACTATATGATAGCTTGGCTATGTGTCCCTCAGAGAGAAGTCAGAAGTTGTGGAAATGGTACCTCAGCTTTTCTGCCCAATAAAGGTAGTTTCCTTACCTCCCTACCTGCTTCCCAATCTGTAATCCCAACCACAGCTAACTTCTGGGTCTGGTGTGAACAAATCTAGCCTGGAATAAGACATCATTGTTCCATTAACTCACCTGAGCTCCAGGGGGCTTCTTTAGTGTGACGATTCGGGGCAGAAACTGGGTCAACTCATTGTTGTAGTCTGGGTGGTATACTCTCTGCAAGACACAGCAACACCAGAAATCTTACTACCAGTCTTAGATTTTATAACCATCTTCATCTGGAACACAAATGTATCACCCTGAAGTCAGGAAAAGGTAAAGTCATGGCCTTAGTTTAAATAGAACAGATAACACTGTCCAAATGGGTAGGTGGATACCTTGGGGAAATGCTAGTAGTCCAGTAGCTCTCCACTTCTTTACTTTGACAGAATGGAAAGCAGGGCTCTGAATTTTCAGAATTCTCTGGTATGAATGTACTCTGGAAGGAGAATTCCATAAGAATCTTCCAATGGGCCCAGTTGCTCAGAATCCAATTTCTGGGTCCCTTGGCTACAACAAAGGCTAAGAATCATTCTCTATTGAGTTTTCTAACCCTGCTATCCTACCTTTCATATATCATCCCATGCCCAAGGGGGAAAATCAGTTATTCAAGAGTATAGATGGTTCCCACCTCATGAGGAGGAATCCATGCTGGGGGATTCTCATAGGCAGGCAGGAAAACCACTGGGTAGTCATCATAAGGAATCCGGCTGTCCATCTCCGGCAAGGCCCTAGAATGGAAAAGTGAATCAAAGCTGACAAAGATGGTTCAAAAGGGACAGCAGCCCAGCAAGTTTCAGAAAACAACTCCGACCTAAGGCTTTCACCTATGGTATCAATCCACTTCTAGGTGATTGATTGGTGGAAAGAAGGAAGAAAGAAGATGGAAGAAAACAATGAACTTTGCTGGATATCTGGATGCCAAGCAACCTTCTAGGTCCTCTATAGAGATGATGTCCTTTTTCACAACCTGCAAAATAGATGCTACTCTCTTCAACCTAGAGAAGAGGCAAGCAGGATGGCATCTACAAAGATCTGTCTACTTTCAAAGTCCAAGGGAGTGCTGACTCCAACTATCCACAGGTGTTGTAGGTGGCAGGAACAGCACCAGGTGGTACACCCATGGGGTCAGATGGTACCTAGGTTCAGCAACCTTGGTACTTGAATTCTGGCTAAGAAAGAATTTACAGTCAAGACCGAAACTATAAGAGAACATTTATTTATAAAATCACAAAGTAATGGAAGAAGTAATTTGTAGAAGAGGTGGGCTTAGGAAACAAGTTATAGAAGTAAAGGAAGGGCCCTTGGCGCTTGGAAGTGAGGAAGATAATGGTGAGGGCGGTGGAGGGGTAAAGGGAAAGGCGCTGGAGTGCTCCCAGGAGGGAGAGAGCACTGGGTACTCTGTCCTAAGGGTTTTCATGGTGGAGATTTTAGGGGCGGTCCAAGGGGAAGATCTCAATAGACTATTCAGCAGTTTTCCAGGTGTTTCCTTTCAGGGTCTAGGTCTCTACTGATTGACTGGATGGCACCAGAGTGGGGGGGCTCATTATCCAATGCAGCTGGTCCTGAGGTCAGCTGTGGCTGCTTTTGTTGCTTATCTGGGCTTGGAGATGAAATAAAACTGAGGCTTAGATGTTATCTCTAGGGAGGAAAAGTCAGGGGGTCCAAACCGCTTGACCATGGATATGCCAGGGGAGGAAAGTTCACCCTGGGGCAAGGTCCCACCCTACAATTGTCCTTTGCTAGGCACCCGGGGCTTTCCACCCTGGTGCCCTTCGGTACCTGGCCCTTCCTCCTTGCTCTGCTCAAGTCTAACTGCCTACCACACTGGGACGGGAGGCAAGGCACCGCCCACATTCCCTAGATGTGATCGGTAATTGTGACGGTCCCCATATCAACCCTTCCTTCACCACCTGTCACCTTCAAATCCCCTCGCCGCCTCCTGCCTGAGCTCCGCGCATTCTAAGACGTAACTGCCCTGCTATCTCACCTGCCAACAGGCCTCAGCCAGCGCAGGTTTTCCTCACCGCCAAATCAGCCTGAGAACCGGAAGCAGATGCTACGACGGGTCCCCAGGGGCGGGATCAACGTGAGGCGCGCAGGCCCACCCCTTCCTAAAGCGTTTGCGTACGCCGACGTGCGTGCACCTCCCGCCGGCTGTCTGCGCTCCGATTGGCTGGCGTCTCCGGGGCCAATTTGAAACTTGGCGGTTAAATTTCCGGTTAGGACAGGGCAGCGGGAAGACAAGAGAAGGTACGTTCAGTTTGGCGAGTGAAGGGGAGACACCTTAGGAACTGCCTTTCCCGGTACTCTGGGGCTGTGGGTCTTTGTTGTCGCCTCCGCTAGGGGTTTTCCTTTCCATTTTAGACGACACTTCGCTGTTTAATTTAGAGTATCGGGCTGCCGGGCCGTCTCGTGGCCAAATCCGAGGGAGAGTGACTCCAGCGGCTGCGACCCTGCTGAGAGAAGGAGCTGCCTCACCTACGCTGAGGTCAGTAACCCATCCCCTATCCCCTGCGGAGGATCGGGACTAAGGAGGACGCTCTCCCACCGCTGCCAACCCACCGAGATTCATCAGCAAGCCTCTTTTCTTTTTTTCCGTCAGAGACGGTGCTGAGGTAGGAGCATGACGGAAGAGGTGAAGGGAATTCCTGTAAGAGTGGCACTACGATGTCGCCCTCTGGTTCCCAAAGAGATTAGTGAGGGCTGTCAGATGTGCCTTTCCTTTGTACCTGGAGAACCGCAGGTGCGTAACAGTCCCGGGCCTGCATCGGAACACCTCAGACCAATGGACAGTGAGGGGTGTGGTCTGACCTTTCATCTTTTTATTCCTCTTTGTCTCCATTATTCTCTAGGTGGTGGTTGGCACTGACAAATCCTTCACCTACGACTTTGTGTTTGACCCTTCTACTGAGCAGGAGGAAATCTTCAATACAGCAGTAGCACCACTCATAAAAGACATATTTAAAGGTGAGACTATTTCATTCATTAAGTGGTTCTTGAGCATATATTATGGTACTGTGCTTGGATGTTGTAAATACAGGAATGGATGAAACATGAGTCCTGACTTCAAAAAGTCCCCAGTCTCTGTATCCTTTACGCTAGTTTTGTACTGTATTTTCTTTCTGTGGTTCTGCTCATCTTTGATATCTATATATTTCATTAATTTTTAGAGAGTGGGAGGGGGAAAGAGAGAGAAAGGGAGACATATATTTTTGTTTGTCCTGGAACCTTATTAGTTTCTAAGCTCTTTGATGGGTGCTGATGATAATTAGTGTGCCAGCCTACTCGAGGCTCAAACACTGCAAGACCTGTGGAAGGATTAAAAAATGAATAATAATAATAGCTTCCAGGCCCTGCAGGAGTGCAAAATTTAGGGATAGGAGTAGAAGTAGATGACTACACACATAATTTTTGATGCATAAAAAAATTGTTAAACTTTTTGCACTCTTCTTTAAGGAAAAGTATTTTAGGAGTTAAAAATATACAATAGAATCAATCAGTCCTGCTCTAGAAGTAGCAGTGCTTTTATACAAAGTGGATGACACTAACTATTTGGGGAATCCAGTGAATTTCACAGCATAGGGAACCTTTGAGATAAGTCTTGAATGATGAGTAGAATTCTTTTGGGTAAAGGAGATTTCCTAAAGTCCCTGAATACTCTGGCCAGTTACTAATCTTTATTGCAGAAGTGAAGCCTTTAGTGTTACTGAAGACCATAGCAGGGCTCTGAAGAAAGGGGCAGTGCCTAGGAGGTCTTTATTATTCTAGGACAGTGCTTATTCAGGATTCAAAGCAGAGGGTTATTTAAAAGAAGTAGAACCATGACATACTAGTCCTATAAAGTTGAAAAGGACATTTACATCATCTAGTCTAGCTTTCCTTCCAAAGAAAAATGCTTTCTAGCAATACCTTTGTAAAGTGAACTTCCATTATCTATTTAATTTCTTTTTTGTACAGGGAACTCACTGACTCACAGTTGATCAGTTCTCAGACAACTCTAATTGTATTAGTTTATACTGAGATGAAATTTGCCTCCTGGTAATTTCTACCCAGTGATGTTAGTTTATCTCTCTGGAGTCTAGAGACTCTAGACCTGTGGTCGGCAAACTGTGGCTCATGAGCCACATGCGGCTCTTTGGCCCCTTGAGTGTGGCTCTTCCTAAGCCTTAGGAGTACCCTAATTAAGTTAATAACAATGTACCTACCTATATAGTTTAAGTTTAAAAAATTTGGCTCTCAAAAGAAATTTCAATCGTTGTACTGTTGATATTTGGCTCTGTTGACTAATGAGTTTGCCGACCATTGCAGTCTAGACAAACAGAAGTCTTCTTCCAAGCCACAGCTATTCACATTTTTTTTCCACTTTTTAAGTGATGTCATGACTCTGAATACTTGTTTTAAATTTTTAAAAGTGATAATCTCAAACTTATAGAAATGTTGCAAGAATAGCATAAAAAATGTTTTTCCTGAACCATTTGAGATTAGTTGTTGACCTGATGCCCCCTGAGTACTTTAGTGTATATATGCTTCTAACATGGACTTTCTGCTACATAACTACAATATGACTATCAAAATAATAAAATTAGCATTGTTATAATACTACCATCCAGTCCTCAGACCTCATTCAAGTTTCACCAATTGTCTCAATTATGTCCTTTATAGCAGAGGGTCTAGTTCAAATTCACATGTTATATTTATTTGTACTGCCTTTGTAGTCTCCTTCATTCTAAAATTTCTTCACTCTCTTTTTGACTTTCATACTCATGACACTTTTGAAGATCACAGGCCAGTTATTTTATAAACCATTTCTAATTTTTGGTTTGTCTGATGTTTATTTCTGATTAGATTCAGGTCCTCTTTGAATCCTGCCAGTCAACACATGATTTTGTTTTATTCCATTACTGTTGATGTTCATTTTGAGATCTTGATGGAGGCTTTAGCAGGGGGGTGCAGCTACTCATGTAACCTTGACCGGAATACAGTCCTCTCCTCTATATGGGAATGTTCTCTTCAACCAAGCTTGCAGCTTCTGGAAGGATGCACATGGAGCAGTGAGGGAGGAAGAGGACACCTGCCTACCCAGCCAGATCAGCCAAATCAATGGTGTGATCAATGGTGTGACAGATGTTGCAGCCAGATGGCCCACATATCCTGATGTTCATTTTGATCATTTGATTAAGGTGTTATCTGCCAGGTTTCTCCAGTAAAAAGTTAATCTTTTTCCTATTTACATATTTGGAAGACCAAATTCTAATTATCTTCTCATTAACCATCTTTCCTTTCCTTTAGCCATTCCTGAAAAAAATGGTTTCCAAAGCCTTCACTGTCTGGGCATCTTCCTTAGTATGTACCTTTACAGCTTAGTAAGAGTACTATACTTCTACTTTCATATTTTTAAGTTGGGAAACTATGGTAATTAAATTATAGTCTTTAGAAGCAATATAATGTAGAAAATGATTCCAACATATATGTGTTTGGTTAACATTGCTCTGCAAGACAAACTAGTATTTTTCAGTCAGCTCAACAGTACCTTCTTGTACTCTGAACTCTCAATACCACAGAGTGCTTTGTAAAAAAATACTGCAACTTGGTTTCCCCAGTTATTTCTATACTGTAGTATTGCAGAAGATTATGGAATATTGTTCTCTTGACCCATAGTCATGCCATACGAGGTGATACTAGCATTCTACTAGTAAAAATCTCAATTTAACATCTTTTTTTTTCTTTATTGATTAAGGTATTACATATGTATCCTTATCACCCCATTGTCCCCCCCCCAAATCCCCCCACTCATGCCCTCATCCGCCTGGTGTCTGTGTCCATTGGTTATGCTTATATGCATGCATACAAGTCCTTTGGTGGTTAATCTCTCCCCTTACCCCCACCCTCCTCTACCTTCCCTCTGAGGTTTGACGGTCTGATCCATGCTTCTCTGTCTCTGGATCTGTTTTTGCTCATCACTTTACATTGTTCATTATATTCCACAAATGAGTGAGATCATGTGATATTTATCTTTCTCTGACTGGCTTATTTCACTTAGCATAATGCTCTCCAGGTCCATCCATGCTGTTACAAATGGTAGGAGTTCCTTCCCTTTTACAGCAGTGTAGTATTCCATGATGTAGATGTACTACAGTTTTTTAATCAACTCATCTGCTTATGGGCACTTAGGCTGTTTCCAAATCGTAGTTATGTTAAATTGTGCTGCTATGAACATAGGGGTGCATATATCCTTTCTGATAAGTGTTTCTAGTTTCTTGGGATATATTCCTAGAAGTGGGATTACTGGGTCAAATGGGAGTTTCATTTTTAGTTTTTTGAGGAAACTCCATACTGTTCTCCACAGTGGCTGCACCAGTTTGCATTCCCACCAGCAGTGCACAACGGTTCCTTTCCTCCACATCCTCGCCAACACTTCTCGTTTGTTGATTTGTTGATGATAGCCATTCTGATAGGTGTGAGATGGTACCATATTGTCGTTTTGATTTGCATCTCTTGGATGATTAGTGACTTTGAGCATGTTTTCATGTCACTTGGCCTTCCTTATGTCCACTTTCAAAAAGTATTTAAGTCCATTGCCCATTTTTTGATTGTGTTGTTTATCTTTTGTTAAGTTGTATGAGTTCCCTATAAATGTTGGAGGATAAACCCTTATCGTAGATAACATTGGCAAATACGTTCTCCCATGCAGTGGGCTTTCTTGTTGTTTTGTTGATGGTTTCTTTTGCTGTGCAAAAGCTTTTTATTTTGATGTAGTCTCATTTGTTTATTTTCTCTTTAGTTTCCATTGCCCTAGGAGCTGTATCGGTGAAGGTATTGCTTCAGCATATGTGTGAGATTTTGCTGCCTGTGGATTCCTCTAAGATTTTTATGGTCTCCCATATTACGTTTAAGTCCTTTATCTATTTTGAGTTTATTTTTATGTATGGTGTAAGTTGGTGGTGGTCTAGTATTTTTAGCATGTATCTGTCCAACTTTCCCAACACAATATTGAAGAGACTGTCTTGTCTCCATTGTATGCTCTTGCCTCCTTTGTCAAATATTAATTGAGCATAGTGGTTTGGGTCACTTTCTGGGTTCTCTATTCTATT